AACGCCAGGCGGTCAAAATTACCGGACCACTTCATGACGGCATGAAATATAGCGTCGTTTTGGCACATACGTATAAACTCATACGATATTTTATATTATTATTATTATTATTATTATTATTATTATTATTATTATTATTATTATTATTATTATACTTGCGCTTTCATTGTGTGGTTCTGGCTGAGTGGCGGTAGCTTTGTTGTGGCCACCTCAGCCGTCGTCTTTTTTGAAATGAATGGGAATCGATGACTGACCTTCTAGAACCGAATGACAGATATAACGAAGTCCTATATATTAGAGTGCCCGGAACACATCGCCGTAAAGGTGTCTGACTGCACGTGCGCGAACGCGCTGTTGTCGTTAGTAGTTTGCACTTTGCCGGATTCGAAGAACAGAGGGTATACGGCATAGTTCACAACTATATATACGCAGTGCACAATCGAGGTCGCGCTCAAGCTGCGCTCACACAATGGCGCGCCTTACACAAACTTTTGTGAGAGACGGATGTTATTGCGCGATGCGGACAGTGAGCTAGAATGGCGACCGATTGTAATGGCGTCACTTGGCACAAGTATAGTGTAGACGGAATTTTTTTTCAAACGGTAGGGGTGGTGGTGGGAGGCGCACTTAACCATACTTTACACATGGTCGTCCGTGTGTTTTTAACTGCGCGTGAATATGATTGATTGATTGATTGATATGTGGGGTTTAACGTCCCAAAACCACCATATGATTATGAGAGACGCCGTAGTGGGGGGCTCTGCAAATTTCGACCACCTGGAGTTATTTAACGTCAACCAAATCTGAGCACACGGGCCTACAGCATTTCCGCCTCCATCGGAAATGCAGCCGCCGCAGCCGGGATTCGAACCCGCGACCTGCAGGTCAGCAGCCAAGTACCTTAGCCGCTAGACCACCGTGGCGGGGCGCGCGCGAATATGCACATGCAAAATTGAACAATTTCGGGTGAAGAGGGTTGAACCCTCTCCCTCCTTGGCTATGGCAGTACTGTGCTCCCTCTTACTTGCTCGTTCTTTCCTGTTTTATCTCTATCTTTCTAGAGTCTACCAACCTCGAGCATCTTTCACTGTTCTGCACTGTAGGGTAGCAAATCGATTTCTTTCTTCTGGTTAATCAGTCGCCGCTGTGGTCATGCTTGACTGCCCACGCGAAGGCCGCAGGATTGAACTCCGTTCTCGCACATTTTGATGGATGCAAAACCTCTGAGGCCCGTGTGTTTAGAGTCAGATACGCACGTCAAAGATCCCCAAGTGGTCGAATTTTACGCAGCGCTCTAATACTATACGGCATCTCATAATCATACCGCAGTTTCGGTACTTGAGACCCTATGCATTACCTCCCTGCGTTTCACCCACCTCTGCTCTCTTTCTTTTTCTGAGTGTCAAAATCGTTGATCCGTCTTGGCAAACTTTTCGCGTAGCCCTAATGTGCGCGTCGTAATTCTAACTTCGTAACGTGCCCCATACAACTATAGCGGGGCCGTGAAAACAACAACGCGACCCAGACGTCATCGTGCGAGAGCTTTATGAAGGACGTCTAAGCGTGCCGTATGTGTACATTTATTTACCCGCGGAGGCGATTCCGCTGCGATGATCTTGACGTTTTTTCACGCATGCATAGGCACAGCTTTAGTTGCCAGAGTTGGTATAACGTATACGCGACGGGATGGCTTCCTGTTGATGACGGCTGTTTTCGCTGCCTCGCTGCGCTGTATACGGTTGCCGCGCATGTCTGAGACATTCGGCGCGGAACGCCGCTCGTCGGAGTTCATATATATCTGCTTATGCGTCTTATGAACGCTCCCCCCCGCCATTCCCCCTCTCTACGTTTCTCTCGTTCCCGAGAATGATACCAGGTGCCGCTCGCGTTACACGCGCGATGCTGTGGCAGTTGGAAAGAAGACATGGCGCCCCGGAAAACCAATATCCAGAGACAACGAAGTTGTAGTACCGCGTTTTGTCGGCTGTATGCAGCAGAGAAGTAACTTCTGTTGTAGGCACGTGTGCTCATGACGATAGTTATAGCGCGAGAACAAAACGACGACACAGAGACAAGAAGGACACGAAAGAGGTTTGGGTGCACGTTAAAGAACACCAGGTGGTCGATATTTCCGGAGCCCTCCACTACGGCGTCTCTCATAATCATATGGTGGTTTTGGGACGTTAAACCCCACATATCAATCAATCATAGAAGTAACTTAAGCACTATTCCAGTTCGTGTAAGGGCCTGGCGGATGGCCTCTTTCGCCAAACTTCAAGCTAATTTTCAAGGCCAACAACCCAAGCTGAAGCTTTGCTTCAAGGCGAAGCCCTTGAGTGTCTATGCCGACGCACCCCTCCACCGCGAGACTTCGTGAGACCCTTGCAATAACCGACGTGACCTTCTTCTAGATGGAAAGGGTTGTGACGTCATCGGCACGGCATCACATGGCGCCGTATTCATGCGGTGTTACATGACCCCCCCCCCCCCCCCAAATGAGACTGAGCCGTGCTATCGTATCACTGGCGGGAGGAAAAGTGTGCATCTTCGAACCACTACGCGTACTATGTTTAATGTAGTGCGAATATCAAGCACACGACGCACTCTCTTGATGTGTCGTTCCAGATTTCAAAAAAGAAAAAAAACACCTCTCTCTCGCCCTCCCTTCCTCTAATTCTTTCTTTCTTTCCTTCTTTGTTTCTTTCTTTCTATATATATTTCTTTCTTTCTTTCTTTCTTTCAATTTTGCCCCGCCGCTGTGGTCTAGTGGCTATGGTACTCGGCTGCTGACCCACAGGTCGCGGGATCGGATCACGGCTGCGGCGGCTGCATTTCCGATGGAGGCGGAAATGTTGTAGGCCCGTGTACTCGGATTTGGGTGCACGTTAAAGAACCCCCCAGGTGGTCGAAATTTCCTGAGCCCTCCACTACGGCGTCTCTCATAATCATATGGTGGTTTTGGGGGCGTTAAACCCCACATACGGATCATCAATCATTTCTTTGAATCATAGAGACTTCGTTAAGGTCGCGATGGTAACACGCTTCAAAGCGCCACTTGCGCTCGAGGAATCGCGGTACGCTACTTACGCGACTTCCCCTACCGTTCCTCGCTAATTCACTCTCTCCCTCCCTCACTCTTCTCGTCACACTATCCTCGCCGGCTCTCTAACGCGCCGTCCTTCTCGCGTTTCATCATCACTCAGCTGGCGGGCCGATTTCCACTTCCAGCGACGACAGACCACTGACTTCGCGCACGGATGCACGTGCGGGAACGACGTGCGCATGCGCGTACGCGCCCTTCGTGGTTGGTCGTCTACATTCGCGCACACACATCTGTGGTCCGGTGACGCTGCTGGCTCCCTCGCTCGCTCGCTTACGCAAAACGCACGGACGTACTGCCGAGAAGCCTCGTTTCTCTCCTCATCGCTGTCATCATTTCCCGGGGCCGGCCCCGGTAGTCATTTGCATCTCTCGCGGCGTGGAATCGGAGAGTGGTATCACATATGCACGCGGCTGTGTGTGAGATGGCAGTGAGCACGTGGCACGGGTCGCCCCCTCGCGGCGACTCTGACGTATCTGTCTTAATCACGGCGACATGCGCGGCGTCTCCATTGCGGTGGCGTTTATATATGTAACGTATACAGGGGCACTGCTCGGGGTTCTCCGACTCGGTCTCCTTCCCTTCTCTGTAACGCGAGCCTTCCCGCGTAGGGTTTCGTGTCTATGGCCGTTTTTTCCGGACTAAATTGTGTATGCTTGTAGGGTTGATACGCTTTCACTCACTCGCTCACTCACTCACTGCACTCACTGCATTCACTCACTTATTGACTTACTCGCTGCACTCACTTACATTCTCACTTCACTTACTCACACACTCACTCTCTCACTGCACTCACTGAACTCGCTCACTCAGTGAATGAAGAACCAAATGAATGAATGAATGAATGAATGAATGAATGAATGAACTAATAAATTGATTAATTAATTCATCTCACTTCAATTAAACCAATCGGTCGGCAGGTTTGGACAATGCGGTTACCTTTTAACTTGCACAGTGTAGCACTATACAAGATACAAGTCGCTTCGTGATACTGCCGTTCTCACGTACATGCAGCTCTGTAGGACACAGCTCTGTGACCTTAAAAAAAAACAAAAAAACAGGTCAATTAACCAGCGAGTGAACGGAACTAAAAAAAAAGCAACGAAACAAAGAATGATGTCATAGTTGGTTTTTTTTATTATTTCATTTGAAACAAATACGAGATTGCAACGTTTCGATTTCCAAGTTCGGGCGAAGCACTTCGACATTTTTTTACCCACTTCCCTCGGAAAGAAAGATAAAAAGAGTATATAGCATAATATTTGTTTACTTCACTCGATCTGCAACTTCCGTCAATTCCGCACGGCCCCCGCTGCCATATTGGGGGGCTGCCGAGCGCGTTCACATACGCTCACGTAATATATGCCGGGCGTGCCTGAGACGACCCCTGCGTTGTTCGGTGATGCGTTAACTTTGCGCGAAGGTCGGTTGCCAGGACTGCGCCGCTTGCGACGCGCCACTATATGCCATGCGCGCGTGTTTGTGCGTGCTACGTTATTATAGCGTACGCCGCCGTATAGTGACGCCAGTATACCTCGTCCGATTTCGCTATTTCGCCCGAGCTTGTGCGCATCTCTGTCTGATTTCATCCTTGTTTTTCTGTTGTTTTTTCTGGATGTGGAGGAGCGCCTCGGTGCACACACCGGATGCTCACTTTGCAGAGTCGTACAACTACCCCCCCCCCCCTTACCCCCTTTCGACACGCCGCTTCCACCAACACCACCGTCACCCATTGCAGCACCCCTCCCCCCCCCACCCCCCACCCCACTGCAGCCGTCAGCCGCTGCACCAGATTTTATCTGCAACGCACCTCTGCTGTACGCATGTGTCGGGAGCAGACTCTATAGTGCAGTTTCGATGACGAAAGTTTGCGGTGCGCTTTTCGGGCCGTAGTTCATCCACTGTGGAACCGAATCACGTTTGCCGTGGACCGTCTGGCCTGTCTGCACCCCTTCCTTTGTGCCATAAGCGTGCGGTTGACCCGTTTCGCCGAGTTTTCGGGGCTTTTGGAATAACTCTCGCGGATTTTGATTTCTCTGGTGAGTAGTTGCGCTCCCTTCTTGTTTTTTTTTGTTGAGTGATTTTTATTTGCTTTTTTTGGAGAGAAGAAATATGGGCGGTTTAGCATTCCCTCATGTCGTCTGTGTGCGATATTCTTTTTTTTTCTGTTTAGTTTTTTTTTTCTTTCGTATCAATGTTTACTCACTTTGCGAGTGTTGGGGCGTTTTGAGGCTCGTGCGCACGATGCCGTAGGTTTCGAATTCGGGCCGCTCGGCCCCCGAGATTGTGCTGCGGGAGAATCGCGCGGTGTGTGACCGAGTTTTTGTCGTCAGGATGATTAACCGCGGGCGTTCGAAATCGACTCGCCATCGTAGCGATTGCCTTCGTCCGAATGAATTTATTGATCGAGTGAAATACGTCTCTGCACAAACGCGTGCATGTATGGCGATCGCTATGCGTTCCTCATAAAAAGTTACGACCGTCCATTCGCCCATGCGTGAGAGCCAACTTTTAAAGTACTGTTTCGCCGCTAACATCGATACTTCGAGTATACCGAGAACTGAAAATTCGTCTGCCCTATATAAAATATTGAGCCAGACTGATCAGTGATTTGGGAGTCTATGCTGAAATATGTCAGATGCACCCTGTATCGCTGAAATGGGAGGAGTAGTTGACGTCGCGAGAATAAGCAACTGCGATTGCTCCAGGTATGTATACCTGCGCAATTTCTTCTCTCTGGTTAGGATAGCGACGGCTGTGAGCGGAGCCTAGATTCATGCGTAGGCTCACCATCATCACCATCATCACCATCATCATCATCATCATCATCATCATCATCATCATAATCATCCCTATGCCCACAGCAGGACAAAGGCCTCTCCCATGTTGCACGAATCAACCCGGTCCTGTGCTTTCTACTGCCACGATATACCTGCACACTCCTTAGTTGGGTGTCAAGGCTCGCAAAAAAAAGAAAAAAGTCGCCAAAGATAATTTGTGTGAGGCGATCGCCGGTGACTACCCCCACCCCCCTCCCCCTACTCTTTTTTTTATCGCGAGAACCGAGCCCCAGCTTGGCGTGAACAGAGGTTGTTCTTCCTTCCTAGCTGCCCTGACGTAGCCATTAGGCTTACGCTGTTGAAAGGTTATGCAGGGATAGTGTAGGGTGCCACCGTGTGTTTGTTTTGCTGTCAGCGGGAAGGCCTCGGCATCGCGCGCGGTAATGGGCGGACGGGACGTGAAACAGGCTTGCGCGAACCGCTGCATGTGTCTCTCGTTTTCTCCCTTTTCACGCTTTCCTGCGCATTCCGCGTGGCGGCGTAAGCGTCGCTCTTGCCGGGTTCTTGCACAGGCGTTCAGGCTGCATTAAGTTATCAGTGCGCGCAGACTTAGCTGAGCGGGCTCCTCGTCTATAAATAATCGCTATACCTGCGCGAAAACGTCCGACCAAATCGGCTTGGCGATCTCCGTGCATGAGGTTGCCATGGCAACCGACAGCCTTTGACGTCATTGACTTTTGGGATACCACGTGATGGAGAATGTATGCGGCCCAATAACGTTCGTCGAGCGTGCCGTGTGCAGAAAGTTGCGAAGGAAACCGCGCCACTACCGGGCCGTCTCTGACTTTGATGACACCAAGCGATGGGGATGGGGGTATGCCAGCTTCCCGACATTCTCGTCCGGATGTCGAAACCGGGTTCGGAATGTTGCCATGGGAACCGGCGATGCGCTTCTGGCGTCATTGGCATTACAGACACCACGTGATGAGGGAGAGGGAACGGGGTTTCAGGTTCGCATGATCGCGACCGTATCGTGTCGCCGTGTTCGCAACGTTTCCATGGATACCGACAGAGCACTTGGTAAAAGGAGGAAATTAGGGGTTGTGCCCTCCTCTCTGGAATCTCTAGGTAGCTTGCGTAGCGAGCAAGCAACATCGAAGCGTTGCCTTAGAAACGGTCACGTCGTTTCGCATAAAGTACCACGTGATGGTGATATTCAGGGACGCTTTTATTTCGTTGAGATTTCGCGTCATCGTAGCGTTTACACATCAGGTCCAAGGCTCACTGATTGGACGGACTGATATAATATTGAACACCAATTGGTTTATGTATTCACGTTTGTGATTCAGTCATAGTAACGCACTTCACCAGTACCGACTAAACCTTATCTCTGCACTCAAAACATCGGTGACCGAGAAATCCAAACGGCTCCTGAACAACTTTCGAAAGTACAAAAAAACGACCTCGTAATTTTTTCCTAATGTTTTCTGTCTTTTCGGCACAATGTGGAACACCGGCTGCCTAGCCACGTGACCTCGTGGGAAAGTTCATCCACAGGACATACGTTTTCCCCTGCTAACTACAGGCCCATATCTCTGACATGCACATGTTGCAAAATACTGGAACATATCATCCTGAAATATTTAACAGAGTTTGTCGAAAGTCACAACATATTACACTCCAATCAGCATGGGTTCCGCAGTGGCCTGTCGACTGTTACTCAATTAGTAGAAACGCTTCATGACTTCGCCAAAGATGTTAACAGCCAACTACAAACAGATGTAATATTTATGGACTTTTCAAAGGCTTTCGACCGGGTTTCCCACCTGAAGCTTAACTATAAACTAAGATGTCTATTAGGCGAAGGACCACTCACACGTTGGATTGAAGATTATCTTTCAGACCGTTATCAGTACGTACAGTACAATGCCCATGTATCTGATACTGTTCCCGTTCTATCTGGTGTACCGCAGGGTTCTGTATTAGCCCCGATGCTATTCTTACTATATATAAACGATATTACTAAGCACGTCGACGTAAACATTAGATTATTTGCAGATGACTGTGTACTGTACCACACAATCAAAACTGAAGATGACCAAACAAAACTTAGTAATTCTCTGTACAAAGTGTCTCAATGGTGCTCAGACTGGCAAATGGTGTTAAATGCAGAAAAGACAGTCTACATGAACATTACTAACAAAAAATCAACACTTACCTTTCCTTACAGTATCAACGGCACCCCACTACGAAATGTTTCACAGTACAAATATCTGGGTGTAACGATAAGCAGTGACCTAAGCTGGAATGCGCATGTGCAGCAAATCTCTAAAAAAGCAATGAATAAATTGTTCTTTCTCAAACGATCGCTTGCCGGATCTACCTTTGAAACACGTTCTCTTGCCTACACCAGTCTTATCCGACCGACATTGGAATACGCCAGTATTACGTGGTTTCCACACACTAAATACAACATCGCTGCGCTTGAGCGCGTTCAAAGGAAAGCTGTCCGTTTTATTTTCAATCGCTACAGGCGTAGCGATTCCCCATCAGAACTTCTTCGGCAGGCTGGTCTCACTACCTTGTCTAACCGAGCGAGAGTGCACAGATTGAAATTCCTATATTTGTTGTTAAAAAATAATTTTAAGATCAACCCCAGGTCATTTGTTACATACAGCTCTGCCAGAGAAACGCGACACAAACACAAATTCACGTTAGAAGAATTTCGTCCTACTAATAATGTATTTCGCTTCTCTTTTTTTCCACGAGTTGTAAGAGACTGGAATGCCTTAGATGAAATTACTGTTACTCAGCCTACGCTAGAATTATTCTCTGAACTCGTGGAGAGAGCTGTGTGACACAGACACATGTCACTCTGGTTATTGTTATTGTGATATGGATGTAGTATGCTTGTTTTAATCTCTTGCTGTGTGTAAATTTAGAGTGTGTCTTTTCGTTTATACGTGTATATGTCTATTTATTACAGAGCGCATAATATGCTCTCCGCATTACTTCTGTACATTCATGTATAAATCAACTCCCACCCCTGTAATAATCCCTTTGAGGGATTGGCAGTATTTTGAAATAAATAAAAATAAAATAAAGTTGCGCTCGATTGGTCTATATGCGAGATACATCAGTCGTAAGTTGTCGATTACCCCGCTTTTCTATGCTGTCGCAGACCCCTGCTCCGTTGTCTCGTGTGGTTATCGTGGGTGACCAATGGATTTCAATTTGTTTCGAGCGTTTTCAACTGTTTGAGAGAAGATAACAGCGTGTGGGAAAAAAAGCGCGAAAGCACGATAAGCTCAACGCTTCAGTGCCGACGATGTCCACGAGTTTTCGAAGAAAAAAGGACCGAAGAGGAGAGAAGCGCCTTAGGAAGGGTGGAGAACACGAGAAGGAAACCACTCTCTGGCCTGTTAACTCAGAATGGGCTATAAAAACCTTTTAGTTCGCTGGAGTGTCGATCGAAATTCCACGTTGTTCGTAAATATGGACCTTTATAAACTTTCTAGGAAGTTGCATGTCATTGTTTACTCCTTTCCCAGTGCACCTTCAATATACCTAAGGTTTCGGGTACCGAACCCACCATGCCACTATATAAGGCAAGCCGTAGTGGAAATTTTTACTATCGGGTGTTCTTCAACGTGCACAGACGTCGCACAATACACAGGCCTCTACCGTTTCGCCTCCACTTGAATCGAACCCACGACCTTCCGATCAGCAGCCGAGCACCATAGCCACTGATCCTTCGAGGCGGACTCCCTGTGCACCTCCACCTCAGGCGTCATACAATGGCGACGCGATCTCACGACAGCTAGCTCTCTGCAAGTACATGTGCGTCGCTACGAAGATCCCGCAGGACATGTCTTCCAGCGTTGCTTGCACCCCGCAAAACTTTCTATCTATAGCGTTGTATCGGATGAGCGCGCTTAAGAGCAGCCTGTATACGAAGGCAGCCTCCCGGTTTGTCCTTCTAGGCTCGCTTCCTTATCGAAAATGTCCCCGCTTTATTTTTATGTTTTTTTTTCTAGAGGCCGTGCTGGCGCAAGTAAAGAACGTCTAAACCGGCGTCACGACCTTTTGGACGAGGGCCAAGTTCTCTTTGACCAAAAATAATTCGTCCCCGCGGTTCCTGCATGCTCGGCCGACAACAAGCAGTGTGCCCTGCAACATTCTTGGGCACTTCCGTAAATACAGCAAGCTTCGTGAAAGAAGTTCCTGTAGTCGTTTGTAAAACGTCGTGGCGTCTATCT